TGTGTGTGTGTTATTGTGTGTGTGTGTTGTTGTTTGTGTGTGTGTGTGTTATTGTGTGTCTGATTGTGTTAGTCTTTGTGTCTCATGTTGTTGGTGTCACCCTGTTGCGTTGTTGTCGTCACTTGTGTCTCCAGTCTGTCGTCATGTTTGTCGCTTTGTGTCCTGATTCTGTCGTTTTGTTTCTAATGTGTGTAGTTGTGTGTCTTGTTTTTGTTGTCTGTGTCCCAGTTTGTTGTCTCATGTGTCATTGTGCTCTTGTTGTCGCCCTCCTGGTGCGTTCTGGTTGTGTTGTTGTGTTCTGGTTGTGTTGTTGTGTTCTGGTTGTGTTCTGGTTGTGTTGTTGTGTTCTGGTTGTGTTCTGGTTGTGTTGTGATGATGGAGCAGGTGAACATCAGCCGTAGACCCTCCTTCCTGTCAGGATCCATTCAGTCAGCAGCAGAACTCTGCTGCCAGAGTCGATGCCATCGATCGCTGAGCTCCATCAGCGCCGCACTCGATAAACAAACTGGGTCACACAACCAGAGTTCAGCTCTTTTATTCACAGATCGGATCAGGAACACGTAACGAGATGAAAACTCACTTCTGATGATCGAAAGCTTTGCTGCACTCACCATAAAGTCTGAATAAAGAGCATTTACACATTTAATAGTTTTTATTCTGTGAAAAATACTTTCTGGGTCAGAACCTTAAACCTCCTCAGAACCACATCTGGTTCTGTATCTGCAGAACGTTTATCTACTGACCAGAGTTCTACCTTCAGACTGTGAATGTTCCAGAGGTCCAGGTCCTTCAAGTCCACAGAGGAGGGTCCAGATTGATCACCTTAATGGACTTTTTCCATCATTTCTGAGCCTCAGAACTTCATCAGTGCAGCAGATAGACACATGACATTTAGGAGGAAGAACACATCTGGGTTCTGCTAGAACCTGACACCAACAGTATTACTAGTCTGAAGGCAGAACTGCTTCAGTTACTGCAGATACAGAACCAGCTGGTTCTGGGGGAACTTTCTTCAGATTTGGTTCCTTTTGTTCTTTAAAGCTGTTCTACTCGTGTTTCTATCAGTCTGTAGTTTTCAGGAGGATCTAAGCTGAGGTTCAGGTTCTCAGAGGAGGCTTCTCTGGTGACGGAGGTTCTGCTCTAGTTGGTTTAGTTTCGGACCGAACAGCGTCGGACTCTGCGGACAGGTGACTCTCAGCTCATTTCTCAGGTGTGAACTCGATGGAGCAGCTCAGGTTCGCCGCCTCGGCGCCGTCCTTGAAGGCCAACAGGAAGTACATGACCTTCCGGACCTTGGCGAGCTCGGCGATCCGTTCTCCGAACTCCTGCATGTCGGCCTCCAGACACTTGAGCGGCGAGTCCTCCGGGTCGCCGGCGTTCCTCCAGAACGTCCCGATGGGCTCCAGCAGCTGCCGGGTCATCAGCGGCGTCAGGTCCGGGGTCCAGTGCTGAGAGATCCCGGTGACGGTGACCCGACCGTGGCCCGACAGTGAGAAGAACCAGCGGGTGAAGCTGAGCTCCTGCGAGGGGAAGTCCAGCCGGTAGACGGCCTCATGGGCCAGCAGGAGGCGCTCTCCATCCTGACGCTTCTGACCCGAACGCTGCAGAGACGAAACCCGCAGACGCATCATCTGCAGCGAGAACAGAACCAGAAACACAAATTTATTTGGAACCACAGAGAGATCAGCATTCAGTGACACAGCAGCTCTATCGGGTTCATCAGGAAACATCAACGTCCTTCAGTTTGTCTGAACCTACCAGCACTGGTACTGCTGCTGGTTCTGGTTCTGTTCAAAGTCGACTCAACTTAACCCTAACCAAGCATTTAATTTGAGTGGTTAAATAATAACTACGTCATCTGAAGTACACCTTATGAAACGTATGTGAACTAGAACCAGGCTGATCAGAACCAGTTTTGTTCTTAGAGTTCTGCTCAGTTCCTGCTGAGATGATTCAGGGTTTCTCCAACATAACATAAAATTTGTAACTGTCGCGTTCACGATCAGAACCATTCATCAGAACCATCACAGCGCTGAGAGGAAACTATGATACATCCCATAATACTGATGCTCCAGCTGGTTCTAGAGAAAATGAACAGAACCAGATCCAGTGTTCAGTCTGTGACACCTGGATGGATGTAGAACTGATCTGGTGTCAGTTTCTAGCAGAACTATCGGCGTCAATAAGCAGAAGCTACTGTAGGAGCAGGATCAGCTGGTTCTGGTTCAGAGAAAAAGGACTGTCAGAGCTGAAGGTCCGTTGGACTATCAGGTCTAGTCTCTGAACAAGCAGAACTCGAGTGTTTTCCATCAGATGGAACCTGAAGCTGAGTGTGAGGAGCAGCTGGATCTACCTCTGACAGCTTCACGTCCTCCTGGAAGTCCAGCCGGGTTCTGGAGCCGTCAGCATCCATGTTCTGGGTTTCTGGTCCTGGTGAAGCTACGAGGGTGAAAGATATTCTGATGGTCCTCCTCCTCTCTGCCTCTATTTAATCCTCCTCCTTCCTCCCCCTGTTTCCATCAGCAGATCTGCCCCTCCTCCTCCTGCCCCTCCTCCTCCTGCCCCCCTCGGGGCAGTTGGTCGGGTCACACGGCATCGATCGGCTCTGACAGCAGAGATCAATGCGCGGCTGATGAGCCCGTTGGTCCGGTACCGTCTCTGTAATGTTTGCCTGCAGACGGTCCGATCAGGTGACATCATGAGGTTTAACCTCAGAGGGTTCTGAGTGGCAGGATGTTGGGTCGCTAAGCAACGGGAGGCGGGATGACGTCGAGCAGGAACTCTGGGAGTTTCCTGAGGGAGGCTGGGAGTCGGACCGGCTCAGTTCAGTGGACCGATCCGGTCCCGTCAGCCAGTCTGTGTGTCTGTGTGAGTCGTCGTCTCTCCAGGTTTCTCCTCAAGTGGGTTCTTCTGACAAACTCCATTAATTAAAGCAGCGGAAGGTTAATTAAGGAGACGATGACGCTTCTGTCACTTACCAGTACTCTA